AAGGGAGGATTGTTGGCTTCTGTGGAGTCAAGATCTTCTTTTCTTGACAAAATTAAGGGAAAACAGTTTGATGATGAGAAACTAAGAAGAATTCAATATAAAGTATTGCGAGGGGAGGCTAAGGAAGCACAAATCGATGAGGAAGGTGTTTTGAGAATCAAGGGAAGGGTATGCGTACCCCGCGTCGATGATTTGATCAGCACTATTCTGACAGAGGCTCATAGTTCAAGGTATTCTATACATCCGAGCGCAACCAAGATGTATCGTGACCTAAAGCAACACTTTTGGTGGAGTAGAATGAAGCGTGACATTGTGGATTTTATTGCCAAATGTCCAAACTGTCAATAAGTAAAGTATGAACACCAAAGGCCCGGAGGAACGCTTCAGAGAATGCCCATTCCAGAATGGAAGTGGGAAAGAATTGCAATGGATTTTGTGGTTGGTCTTCTGAAGACAATGGGTAAGTACGACTCCATTTGGGTGATTGTTGATAGGTTAACTAAATCTGCTCATTTCATTCCGGTCAAGGTGACTTACAATGCAGAAAAGTTAGAAGAACTTTACATCTCGGAAGTGGTGCGATTGCATGGGGTTCCACTATCCATCATATCAGATAGAGGTACGCAGTTTACTTCTAAGTTTTGGAAAACATTGCATGCAGAATTGGGTACTAGGTTGGACCTTAGTACTGCGTTCCATCCCCAGACCGATGGTCAGTCTGAGCGAACGATTCAAGTGTTGGAGGATATGCTTCGTGCATGTGTGATAGAGTTTGGTGGTCATTAGGATAGCTTCCTACCCTTAGCAGAGTTTTAATACAACAATAGCTATCACTCAAGTATTGATATGGCCCCATTTGAAGCATTGTATGGGAGGGGATGTAGGTCTCCCATTGGTTGGTTTGATTTGTTCGAGGTTAGACCTTGGGGCACTGACCTTTTGAGGGATTCGATGGAAAAAGTGAAGTCTATTCAAGAAAAGCTTCTAGCGGCGCAAAGTAGGCAAAAAGAATATGCTGATCGAAAGGTTAGAGACTTAGAGTTCATGGAAGGTGAACAAGTCTTGTTAAAAGTTTCGCCCAAGAAAGGGGTGATGCGGTTTGGAAAAAGGGGTAAACTAAGTCCAAGGTACATATGACCATTTGAAGTACTCAAGCGAGTGGGGGAAGTGGCTTATGAGTTAGCCTTGCCCCCAGGGCTGTCCGGAGTACATCCGGTATTCCATGTGTCGATGTTGAAAAGATATCATGGGGATGGAAATTACATTATCCGTTGGGATTCAGTTTTGCTTGATGAGAACTTGTCTTATGAGGAGGAGCCTGTTGCTATTTTAGATAGAGAAGTTCGCAAGTTGAGGTCAAGAGAGATTGCGTCTATCAAGGTGCAATGGAAGAATCGACCGGTTGAAGAAGCCACTTGGGAGAAGGAGGTGGATATGCGAGAAAAATACCCACACCTGTTTACAGATTCATGTACTCCTTTTCGCCCTTGTTTTCCTTCTCTTGATCGTTTGGGGACGAACGATGGGTAAATTGGTATCTAATGTAACGACCCATTTAGTCGTTTTGAGCAACAGACTTCAATTCTGGAAAAACTGGCAGAAGCGACGGACCCCACGACGGAACGTCATGGGTACGACGGACCGTCGAGGGGGTCTCGTCCCAAAATACTTAGAAAATCTGAAATTGGGTACTGAAAATCAACTCTCTGAACTTTGTGACGGAATGGCAGGACGGACCGTCATAGGTGTGACGGACCGTCACAGACCCTTGGTGGAAATTTGGGTCTCTGAACTCTGCGACGACCAGCAGGACGGACCGTCGCAGGCACGACGGCCCGTCACAGGTTGCGCAAATCCCAGGCAGAGTCGGATTTCTGGTGAAGATTTAAGGGACGTTTTTGGACTATTCTTTCCTTAATTATAGACTTCGTGGGTGTATATTAATAACTCAAATTCTTGAGGGTTAAAAGGGGTAACCCTAAGTTAACTAGCGGGGTATTATTGCCACCTTTTATTCTTAATTATATACTAATTAGGGTAAAAGAAAGAGGGTTGAATAAGAAAAAGAAGAAAAGAACAGAAAGAGAGGGAGAAACGAAAGGGAAAGAGGAGAAACGAGAAGAAGAACAAAGCTTTGGGAACTTGCTTGCTTGATTTCTAATCTTCGGTGGAGGTAGGTTATGGTTTTCATGCTTTCATAGTAAACTCTTAATAGAGAATGATATGTATTGGTAGTATTGTAAACCCTACTATATGCTTAATTGTATGTTTGCATGAATATGATTATGTGATTGTGATAAGATAAGCATGATCAAAAATATTGAATCCCAAATCTTGAAAAGAAACTTTGATATACATTATTAATGATGATGCCTTGGTATAGAAGAAGGTTTGATGAATTAAAGTAATGGGATTGAGGATGCCATGGTTTAGAGAAGGCTTGATGATTTACAGAATGATATTAGTGGATCGGAGTGTCACGTTCCGACACATAGATTTAGTGGATCAGAGTGTCACGTTCCGACACATAGATTTAGCGGATCGGAGTGTAACATTCCGACACATGTAGGGGATCGGAGTGTCATGTTCCGACACATGTAGGGGATCGGAGTGTCACGTTCCGACACATGTAGGGGATCGGAGTGTCACATTCTGACACATGTAGGGGATCGGAGTGTCACGTTCCGACACATAGAATTAGGGGATCGGAGTGTCACGAACCGACACAAGAGGAGGAAAGATAATGAATCTTGAAAGATGTTAATATACTCAATCTAACGAACATGATTCCCAAATGAGTATGGTATTGGGGCTTGAGTCCTCATGTGTGAATTTGATGGTACTTATTGATGATTATATTACTTGTTGTTGTTACATGTTGAGTTTTATAGTTGATTTATGATAATACTTGATAAATACTGTTCCCTATTTTGAGTTGGCCGATGATATCTACTCAGTACCCGTGTTTGTACTGACCCCTACTTTTATTGTTTTCTTCTTGTTTAATTGTGGAATGCAGCAAACGTGCCGTCATCTTCGACTCAACAGTAATTCAAGCCAGTCTTCGTCACACCGGATCTTCAGGGTGAGCTAACACTTCTAGCTTGGACTGGATCTCCTCTGTCACGTCTTGATGCCTTGAACCTCCGGCATGGACTAGCTTCTTATGTATTTTTAGCTTTTAGAATACTCTTAGTTTAGTCATTTGATTGTAGATGTTCTTGTGGTGATGACTTCCAGATTCTGGGGATAATGATAAGTTTTTGAGTTATAGAAGTTGATTATTGATTTTTATTAATGAGTTTAAGTCTTCCGCATTACTTTTTGTTGTTATTACATTGAAATGTTAAGGTTAGATTGGTTGGTTCGGTCACATAGAAGGGTAAGTGTGGGTGCCAGTCGCGGCCCGGATTTGGGTCGTGACACATGCTTTATTTGCTATACGCCAAACCAAAAGAAGTTGATGTAAAATATTCAAGGAGAACAATTAAGTTCTAACAAGGTAAATGACGCCATTTCTCTGTTTGAATTATGTTTTACGCTAATGAGTTCTATCTTAGTCTTTGTCGAGAGCATCCGAGAAGATGAATACTCAAATCAAACCAAAGGTACGGACAACATCATAAATGATGCTTCACAATGTGGAACTTTTTCTTAGCAGCGAACTAGGAAATAGTCTAAAGAGGAGTATCAAACTCTGCCAGCTGAGGAGCATATTTTGCTACAATCAAACCACACCCCTATCAGAAGGCATGTGGGTTTTTCTTTAGGTTTACCGATTTCAGTATCACATTCGGATATTTTTTTGTGTTCATCGAAAGTAACTTCTCGATTAGAGTGACAATACACCAAGAGCTTGTGGGTGTGTAGCGTGCCACATTCATGGATAAGAGGTTGTAAGCCTCTTTTCCTTACTCGACTTACTTGTCACTCTTCCTGAATAGAAAGTTATGTAGCATAATAGATTTTCTTTTCAACCGATCGAGTCGAGCTACAAACATCCTGATTCATAGGTTTTAAGGATATGTAGGCACACTCGATGTTAAAAAATCAGTTGTATTCCGATAACTTCTCTCAAATCTTATTCTCGAGCATTCTGATTTCTTAATAATTCGATATCAGGATAACTTTTTAATTCTTCAGAATCATGCGTCAAATCAAGAGTATCGAAATACAAATAACCTTAATTATTATATAGGTTGAGATAAGTAGGAAACCCGATTCTAAGTTTCGTACATAAATCCTAAAGTCTGTACCAAAACCCCTTTCCGGGAGGATGAAGATGTGGTCGGTAAAAATTGGATTCGTCAATTTTATTTGCCTCGAATTTCTTTCATCAATCCAAATTAAACAAGGGATATTTTTTGGCACCCAATTTTGTACCTTCATATCATAGATTAATCATCGAGCCTCTTCAATTCCAAACGATTTTAAAATAATTATTTTTATAAATTTTCACAAAAAAATATATTTTGCAAGTTTTTTATAGTCTCTCACTTTTATAATTTTTAATCAATTAGCTTTTATGAAATTCGAAATATTATCGAGTTATTTTTATGTGAGTCTAGCCAATTTTATAATTTGTTAAAAATAATAAATATGTTTCTAGTATATTTTTATTTGAAAATCGACTCAAAAGGTTTTAGTTTTGCTTGAAATTTTGCCAATCAGTTTAATTAATTACTAGTTAATATTTTAAAATTGATTATTTTATTTGATTAAGATTAAAAAGCTCATTAATTAATTTATAATAATTCGTCTTGCTAGACCTTAGTCGAATTCCTCAATTAATATAAATCCGTTAGTCATTAACTTATTTCGGCCGAATTTGTAATCTATGATTTTTCCAAAATTAAGTTAACCAATATTTGCCCCATTTTATTGGATCAATTTTAGACCAAAGTTGGGCAAGTTTTCAGCCCAACTCTCTTATAAACCAGCAGCCCATATTATATACATCCAAATTCCCAGCCCAAACCCGATCGATCCACACTGTTTTCTTCTCCCTCACTACGTGAGAATAGGCAGAAAGTTGCTATAGCTTTTGTTTTTTTATCATCGCAGCGGAATCACGGGTAGCAGCAGAAAATCGCGAGAAATCGGTACACTCATCCAACTACTTTGCAAACTCATAACCATAGCAACCTAATCGATCAAATTGTTGTCCTTTTCTCCCCCCATTTTCAATAATCTTCAAAATCTCTTCTATTTGAAATTTTGCTCAATGAATTTCTCCCCTAAATCATCCCTTCTTCCCCTATAAATAACTCTTTACCCTCAGTGATTAAGGGGAGATAGAGAAAAGATTGGATTTTGAGGTCATATAAGCAAAATAGATTATAGAGGGGATTTTGGAGTTGAGTTCTGAAGCAATAGTCGTTTTCTACTCGAAAAATGCAACTGTTTATAGTTGTTTTTTAGCTTCTTCTTTGCTATCAGTGTTCGAATCTTGTTTTAAAAGAATCACTGTCCAAAGCTTGTCGTTCCCAGTTCTGCTGCCCCTGAAAGGTAATACTATTTTTTATTCAAGCGTCTTTCGTTCTTAATGTTATGTTATGTGATTTTCAAGTATATGAGTTGTTTATATATCGATATTACGAGATTCTTTTTACTGATGATCGTAGATTACTACATAGTTGGTCCGCCTATTCGAAATGACATTTTTTCTCGTTTTCTTTCACCAAAAGTCGAGCTGACCCCATTCAATGTTGAGATTAGTTCTTCCGGTTAGTGTACTTTTACCTCATTACATGATCTCATCTTGTTGTTTATGATTGTGGTTTAGTATGAAGTCTTAAATTTAATTTCTAAGAGGACGTTTATTTTTATTTGTGAGTTCGTTTTGTATCTCGGCTTGTATAGACAAATATAGGTCGATTAGTTTACTGTTTTCTCTTCTCTCTTCTCTTCGTTGACCTGTTGGTTGAGTTTATTTAGTTTTGATAGTAGGTTGTTTCAAAACGTGCTTCTTCGATTTTTGAATCCAATGAATCTCCAGTTAAGAAAAGTTTGTACATGTGAAGGTTATTGTTGCCTGCCTTTTCCTGTTTCTTAGAGTTCAAAAATGTTGATGTATGGTGATTCTGTAAGATTGAATATACGCTTTGTAGCAGTCGATTTGGCATATAGATTATTTTTGGTAGTCATGAATAGTAGAACATGCATTACTTTTGGATTTTCTTGGAGAGGTAAAAAATTGTAGTAGCCTAAATTAACTCCTCGACATCGCATATACTTACCTGTAACTTGCTCTAATAATATTCTCATGGAGATTTTGTAAGTTTCAGGCGCATATGTTGATCATACTGCTTAGGAAAGTTTGACGAGTGTTTTATCAAATTTATGTAGCCTTAGTTATGAGGTTTATTACACCACTGTTAGCGGCAACGTGAAATTAAAGATCAAGGAAGAACAACAATATTTAACGTGGTTTAGATCAATATGATCCTACGTCCTTCAAAGAACAACTGGACCAATATTTATTTCACTTTACAAAGAATACAAGTGAAATACCAAAAGAGAGAGAACACAAATGTCTTAGTAGATGAGAAGGCTAGTGAGAGTATGTTTTAAAAATGAAGTAAGAACTACCTATTTATAGGAATGAATTCATCCTATTGATATCATCCATGATATCACTATATGTAAAAAATGTTAAGGTTAAGAATATGAAACCATTTTATGGTTTGCTTAAACTTCACCTACCAAGATATTATCTTGACTTTTATTTAATGCTAATTATCTTCCTACCAAAATATTCATGTTAATTCGTCTTCCATATAGTTTGATTCCACAAGAACAAAACCAAACCACTGTTTGGTTTAGTTCCCTGTTTCATGCTAGTGCTTGTTGCTGATGTTCTGGTAAGAGATATAGTAAAAATGTGTCTTGCCGAAATTTTTTCCTTAGCCGAGTTGTTATCTTCTAGCACCATAAAATCGCACTTGTACACTATTGGTAACCCTGGCCATATTTTTGGGAATGGTTTTATTGGTACCTCAATTAACTTCTAATCAATTATAGTTTTGTAAGAAGGAAAATTTAGTTACAGTAATAGTTTACTATTGCGAATTTATAATTTGTGTTTTGTCTTCATGTGTACCATTTTGATTTTATTTTTTTACATTTTGATATGGTACTGTTATGATCCATTTCTCTGTACTAATCGTTTTCGTCTAATTTTCTTTGCATAAATTCACTCGGATCGAGTTATTTGGACTCCTATGTACCTTGCATTTCTTAGTTGAGCCATAAAGGCTAGCCTTTGATTTCCCTATTTCTCGAGTCAGCCCCTCTATACATTTGGAAGTCGTTACAGGTCCTGGAAATTCTGGAAAATAATGTTAAAGAGCCCAAGAAATGGGCTGTATATAGACTCTATGCAACATTTATACATTGATATATAGGTCATGTACAGAAAATATGTGGAAAAAGTACGAAAATGCCGAGACGAGGAAAAATACAGGTGTTTGGAAGCAGGAGATACATGAAAAGAGCAAATATACATGCTGACATATATTGATATAGAGAAGATGTATGCAAAAAAAGGGATTGGGTTAAGACCCAAAAACTTGCAGCGGAAATGGCCCAAAAGGGGGCCCAATTTAATTATCTCTTTCACTTTCCTAATTTTTTGATTATGTTGACTAATTTCATTTAACTCTAACTTTAGAACTAGTAATTAACTTGCTTAAATCCCTCAGATCATGATTAATTTTCTTTAGTTTGGTTTACTATTTAAACATCTTTTGCAATCAATTTTTTTTATGTCAGGTATATCAATAAAATTAATTTATTTAGTTAAGTCAAATCTATTTTCTTAAAAAATATATTCTTTAGTGCTTTTCACTTAACCACATTTTGCTATTTTCAAAATTGTTTTAAGTTAGGCGAAACTTTTATTCTTCCATTAATTTGAAACGGGTTTTCATGCTCAAATTGATCAATTTGTTTTGAGTTATTATCTTTTAAAATTATTCAAAGAAAAATATTAATTAATCTAAGTTAGTTAAATTCTATTTACTTATAGTCTACTTTAAAAATTCTAATTAAGATTCCATTTTCTCAAAATAAAAAAAAATTACTCTCTGTTTAAATATTTTCTTAAAGTTGATAGAATATTGTTAATTATTATATTATATTAAATAATGTTCCTAAATAATTAATCTAATTAATCGAATAACCGCGTGAAGCGGGCGTTTCAAATGCTTTAAAATCCTTCTTGAAGCGTAAATTAAAATTTCTTACCCATTTTCTCTAAATTTTTAAATGCTTAATTTGTTAGGATTTTAAATTAAGTTTTCTTGATTTCTTGAAAAATTAAGTGATGACTCTTTCTAAGTATTTTTCTAAATTGTTTTATACTTTAATCATTTCAAAAAGCAATTTTTCTAAAGATAGTAAAATTACGACATAACAATATGCACATTAGTTGTGACAATCGGGTTTTAATAACATTGTTAAACATATGCTTGATAATGTAATGTACCATGTTCGTGGATTTTGAAACTATGGATTGATCAAGACAATACTCATGGAAATAGATATTTCAAAAGGGCCTAGTGTGCCAAGAGCTTGTTTCAAATTTGAAACAACTATACTTAGTTTATTATTAAAAAAACATGAAATAGTCAGTCCAATACTTTTATAGATTATGATTATAATGTCACATAAGCCAAGTATAGATTTATCATCTTTCATCTATTGTAGAAAAGTACCGTCATTTTCTGCAAAACCTTCTTATGAAGTTACAGTTATATGCTTCAATCTAGTTTACCGATTAGAAGTGAAATGTTAATACTTCACTATATCTCTATATTGATGACAGTTTAGGCATCTTCAAAACATAAAACTCATTTGTAATTCACTCTGAGGGCATATGAAGAGGTACCACATATATATGTCATAACCAAATCATAATACACCTTATCAAAGGGGGTCCACTAGGCTGCCACACAATGGTTAAATAGGATAGCTTCATGACTTCCGTTCCAGCCAACCTACCCCTAAGTTTATCATTTACACAAGAAGGATATCATTACTACTTTTGACTTCAAGGATATCATAATTTTCTATCTAGGTTAAAGGTTCCACATTAATGACCCTCTTAACTATGTTAAAGATCACGTTTCATCATACATACACATACATAACAAACGTGCTTTATCCTACTAAGTCAAGATTCATATTCATATTCTTCATGTATCAAGTAGAGGGACATAGGTCTACCACAACAAGACACACACATACATCATCTTATCACATGTACAATCACATTCAAGTAGCACATAGCGTCAACTAAATATATTACAAGTCACCTTACAGACCTCTATAGATTTATAAACATAACTCATCATAAGGTTCATATAGTCAACTAGGAAGGTTCATACTTCAACATCAAGAAACACATATTAAGGCATCACAACCGTCTACTATAAACACCTATCATCAACTAGAAGAACACATGCTTTGACTTCACATATACACTTAACTCGTATATACCTTCACAATGATCACATATACAAGTTATAGCATGATAACATCATAATTCATAAAGTAATGTCAACAAGGCCACATTCTTCACAATTCATAAAGTAATGTCGAAGAGGCCACATTCTTCGCAATTATATCACACAAGCACTGTCACCATAAGTGGACCATACCAAACATCACATTTGAAACCCCTATACTGCACAATATAGAAGATGTTAGCTCAACATACAACCATTCCAACATCAACACCTCCAATCCATAGCCAATTAACCCATTTCAATCCATAAAGTCTCTTACCAATAACCATAATTACCAATTCAACCAACTAATCAAACAATACAATGATCCAAGATGATGCACTATGAAATTCATCAAATTAGGACAGACTATATGCAATTCTGACATGCTTCTTACATTATTCAATAGCCTAAACTAAACTACACAAGAAATTAATACAATTGAGACATGATCAAATAACCCATAATATAGTCAAAATAAGGAAATCATGATTTGCATGGGTTCATAACGAATTTGATATAAAATCATTCAATTAACATCAATTATATAATAAATCATTGTTTCAAATCATTTCATGCAAGAAACCATGGCTAGAAGTTGTTTTTGATCATCTTTGAAAACCATTTGAATTTGACTCCTTGAATATACGAGAATCCAAGGAAGAAACACCACCTTTATTTATGATTAGACACGAAATTGATGGAGAAAAACTTGGACAATCAGTCTTCTTCCTTGGAGATTCAAAGCATCATCAACGGAGGTTTTTGGAGAGAAGGAATAGAGAGGTTCTGTTTTGAATTGAGGGTTTTTTCTTAATTGGTGACTTTTGAAGTTTTAAAAGACTCAATAAACGACAATAAGATGTCCCAAAAATACCAAAAAGACCCCTGCACATATAGGACCATTTAACCATTACTAATTTGACTTAAAAACGACGTGACCGAATCTGGGACATGGTTTGTGTCGGCCCCGCCTCATAGGGAAAACTTTTTTCCCTTTGAGTGTAGTAGGCGCGACGTGCAGACAGTGCCATATATTAGCTGCCCCAGTAGCTTCATTGGCCCATGTTTACGCCCTTCTCAAGGACCCTTTGGCTGAATAATTGGGGTGTTGTTCTGAGACGCTTCGACCTTTTACATATCTGACTATGTATAGGAACCATCAATACTCAATTTCACCCTCATACCATACCCCAAAACCCCACTATAAAACACTACGACTCATTAGCTTAACTTTGACTATTTTCCAGACGCCTTGGACGTTTCACTTTCAAACTCTTCCAAACTCCTCAAACTGACTTCCCACACTATTTCTAACAATTTTAGTACTTTATAACCTCATGACACACATGTTAGGCTCTAGATTAACCTAATTCGTTTTAGAGGTGTTATAGGTTTTTACCTAGAGTAGAACCATTAGGTAATTTATTGACATGATCCAATGACACAAAGATAATAGAGAACGTGTGAGTTGAAATCTCAATGCCAGTTGCCTTTATGATGGTATTATCTGTAAATGAAAATTCAACTTCTCTATGTACGGAATAGTAGTTGGGTAGACGCGATCTAAGCATCCTTAGCAATATAGTAACTCTTATTTGGTTTCAAGGAGTCCTTTCATGTTTAGATATGTTTATTAAATAGTGTTGCTTGAATTTTTGTACCTAGTATTGTGCAAAAGAGAAGGGGTTTAAGTACAATAAATATGAATGATAAAATAATAATGTAAGTAAAATTGTCAATGTTATTACCTCTTCGTTAACTAATATTACTCTTCAAAAATTCCCTTCATGCCTTAAATTCTTTTAAGGTATTACTGATCCCCTTCAAATACCTAAGAATCTCATCACCGAATTAACGGACTATTTTTGTATCTTGTTTATTGGTACATTCCATTATTTTAGTTCAATTTAATATACCATGTATGCAGGTTAGCAACAAAAAGAAACAGAAATAGATGAAATAGACAGAAAATAAATCTGAGTCCATAGAGCACGCTATGTTTCCATAAGAAACTTAATTCCATCAAGTACCTGAGGTTATAGTTTAATTCCTCCAAAGAAAAAACAGTTTAACTATTAGAAAATTAGTGGTACCTCAAACTTCACTAATTTCAATGAACGAAGAACAACAACAAAAGCACACACAGACTCAGCCGATCGATAATTTTATTTATGTAAGAAAATGCATGCATAGAGGAAAACAAAATCAGTGTTCAAAAATGAAAAACAGACTCTATTTATAGTCGAACGCGTCTGTTCGACAATGGTGTGAATGCTTCTGCTTAGACATGTTATTTTAGAATGTTGTGCCTTTTTGGAAAAATAACGTATCTTTGGAAACGTTACCATTACACGCGACTTTCAAAATAAATCCCGTTGTGCGAAAATAATTTTGTTAATCATAACATGTTCAATAAATTTATCAGAGAAAGGAAATCAATTAGTGAGATTGATTGATTAAATTTGTCCAAAAAATTATCAATCAATCATTTGCCAAATCCAGAGCCGAGCGAGCAATGATGACGACGGTACGAGGGTACACCTTCTTCTTAACCCTTTAAGAACTAAAGGAAGTGTTTCCTAATATAAAGACAATATTTTCCTTTATCTTACCAATATGGCAGAAATGATTTTTCATTTGCAATTTGCAATGACTTTTCATTATTCCCTCCAAAATTGGTTCCCCCACTGTTTCCATTTTCTCTTCTTATTTCCTATTCACACCTTGCTAAAACCAAATAATCTCCCACATGAATAGGGAATGTTTATTGTTAATTAAAACATATGCATGAAAAACATGTTTGTGTCGTAAGTAAGGTTTAATCACATCTAGATAAGAAAGTTTCCCTTTAAACTTTCCATAGTGAACATATATAGGATATACTCGATCAATCGGTAGATTCGATATATTTGAACCACCGAGATTTGGTGCATACCTGGACAACATAAGTCACACAATAAACCCTTGAACTATTTTTTGTTCTTATTGTTTTGTTTGTTTCTGCCATGAACACATCTTGGTTAGTAAGTGCTACAGTATTTTCCTTGAAGCGGCTTACACTTCACACTTACATAGGTGGTTTCTAATGTGTTATCCCATAGATACACTATTTGATATACCCTGTATCAAACTTAGAAACCATTAAAAAGTCTTTATGCCTTTATCCTTGTTACTGAAGATTGTGTCATCATGAATGGACCATAAAATAGTT